ACTTGTAAACAAAATGACGTCACAACTTGTGCTAAATTTTCTTGAATTTTTAGAGAAATACGTTTTTGAAACAAATTTAACTGTGATATTCTTATTCATGCCAATAAAATACACATTTTTAACATTAAAATTTTTTCGTGTCATATGCACTTTAATAATTCACAGAGTTGCTATGAGTTCAATTATGCATTTCAATAGCTTCCTTTGAAATCAATCACCTGCTTCTGTTATACGGAGTTCTTCAACATTGTTTGCTCGCCAGGAGCTTACATTTCATAAATTCAAGAAGTGATGTTTTGATAAAGAAACTTTGCCTAAGGTAAGTTTCGCTGCTAGCAGTGTCTCCTTTTTCTCTACCTTTTTTTATGCGGCGAGAAGGGAGACTCTGCTGATGTAGAGCGTTTCCTCTGATACACCGTCGTCCACGATTGTGGACGAACGAAACCAGTTTTACAGTCAAAGGACATGAAGTTTGCCCATCTAGAATGCATTTTCAGTGCATTATTCGATTTTTGACATCATTGTTCGTTTTCTAATATTCCGTAATTATTTTCAAAAATCATAATCTTTACATCAAGTAACATGGAATTTTGTCCTTTTCAGCACCTTTTTCATMGGTTTAATTGATCAAATAAACTTTTGAGCGAGTAAAAAAGTCTAAGCAAACAGGTAGAGCGTCAATTTTAATCGAAGCGTGAGCGTATCGCTTGTTTTCTGGGAAACTGGCTATTTTCACGTCGCAATCCTAATAAGGTCACAAGCTCGCATTCCTAAACTTACATTGATCACCAACTGCATAACGGTTAATTCACGATTTTTAAGTCTTTTTAATTATTTGAGATTTWAAAAAAATAACGGAATTATCTATTTTATCGACAAGCAATAGAAATGTGGTATTGTGTTTAGATATTTTAATTGATTTTAAGTTATTTTGAGAGACATATCTTATTTTTGTAAATCTGCGTAATCGCTGGCCCGTAAAAATGCTCAACCCAAAAATTATTTCGAATCTTATATTCTTCGTTTGCAATAGACGTCATAGCCGCCATGTTGGAAGAATTTGACAAAAGATTTTTCAGTGAATTCTTTTGCTATATCTTCCAACATGGCGGACATCCCTTTTGTTATTGTGCTCTCTTGGAATTGATTGCAAACGCCAAGAATTGAAGAATTTCAACAAAATCTAATGTCTTTAAGATCATCAGTTCAAACAGGTTATCGTTTTTCTATGTGAGTTACAAACTTGTACGAATGCTGAAAAGTAATCCAATCAAATTTCCAATTTTGGATATAAATTTGATTTCATTCTCGGAAGATTGGAACGACCGAAAAATCTTTTTATGAATTGAATAATGCAGTCTAGCTAAGCACGCTTCATGTCCTTTGACTGTAAAACCGGTTTTCAACCGGGTACATGTAGTGCGCATGAGCAAATGTAACACACCGTGGAGCAATCTCGTACCCAGAGCCTGTGTTTTTTTGGCCTGCAGCGAAAAATAATAGCGCATACGTTAAAAGACTTGCCAAAAATTAAAAAAATATGTTCCCCATTTCTTATTCTTATTTTGATCGAMAGTAAACACAGAACTCTGTTTGAAAGCAGGTTTGAAAGCATGATTTTCATTCATTATATTTCACTTCCGGAAAACTGCGCATACGCCAAAAATGGATTATGCCAGAGCCCTCGYTTTTCGTCGCAGGCCAGAACAAACGCAGGCTCTGGGTACGAGATTGACCGTATAGCGCTAAAAGTTGTTTGACGAGAGCGGCTGTCAAAATCATGACAGCGTTGCTAAGTTACGCCACGCAGGCGTAACAAGTATATCCTATATCGGCAGAGTTTATTTTTCTCACTCCACCAAAACAAAAGGAAAATAGCCTCTGCTAGCAGGGAAAAGGTTAGTTTGAATATTGTGTGTATTTACGCTAAAAAAAACTCTTGATAAGACAACACTTTAGTATTATGCGATTTTATTCAATAGTAAAACGTGCGAAAAGAAAGCTTAACCAACTTTGCATACAGATATTTTCTTTTACGCGCCATAACTTGCCTTTGAGGTGGCTGCCTATTCTATATAAGGATTTTTACCGTGTTATAGAAGTCTTGCTATAACTGTGAAAGATCTTCACAAAAATTTTCTCAGTTTTGCGTTCGTACTCTAAATTGGAAATTGTTGGATTGAATAGATATGTTAGACTTATGTTCGCGAATTATCATACGAACGTTTAATCCCACAGTTTGCCACATCGATAGAGACTGAGAAAAAGCCGACTATTCTTAGGGAATGAGTGATCATGACTTTTGAAGTTAGAATGGGATGAGAAAATTCTCAAGTCAACTGCAGATGAGGTGGGTTGATTGGAATGACTAGGGACGATGACTATATGATTTCAATTCAACAAGAAGGAAGAACGATGGAAGTAGTAGTTCAAGTTGAAGTTTTTTTTATATGATTGTTTTTCAATGCTTTAATTACACCTTTGAAAGCATTCAATGACTTTGTCGGCTATTTTCTTTTCCAACCAGTATGAGATTCACTTCAGCCAAAAATTGATTTCGCTCATAATCACGTATAATTAAAAGGTAGACATATAGCCAAAACAAATCGTAGTATACAATCAGTGGAACATTCCGCTAATTCTACTTTTCACTAATTAAATCATTAAACTAAGGTCGTTGAATATTCGGGCTCTTTTCCCAGTTTTAACATTTTTGGCAAATGATGCAACATAGAAAAGCCTACCCTTTTTCATTATACAACTCTATTTACCGATTGTGTGAAAAAGGGTAAACTTTCGCCTATTTTTTCGGCAGGATTTTTTTTTTTTTTTTTTTCAAAATCACCCACTCCGCCACTCACAAGTCTAATGGTCGGTCTCTAATAACTGGCCTGGAAATCGACTGTTATCCATTGCTATGAGCAAGAGACGAATATTTCTGACAAAAAACCTCTCTTAACTTCTGGAAAAGCTTGTGAAAGCATTTTACTGATATATTGGTATCTTTTATTGGCTCTTACTAAGCTTTCTATTTGGGAAAGATTCGCTTGTAGATACAAAATAGACAAAATAGACGAAATAGACGAACCAATAATATGGCCGTGCGAGAAACAAGACTCGCCTAATGGCTAAGCAGTCAAGAACTGATAGCCAATCACAGGCGATTCTCTTTGACTGGACAAGCGACAATAAAACTTCGAAAAAGGCTGCCCATTATTGTAACTTTGTATGCCATGTCCCCGTCATTGTTTCGATGAGGGGTACCAATGTTCGTGCTTTGCAGCTTCCAGAGGAAAATGCAATTAACGTACCCCCTTTCAGAACTTTTCAAAATGAAATTAGCTGTGCATAGAAAATGGGAGGTAATTTTCATATGCCTTCATTTCTTAAAACTTAATGAAAAAAGGTACCCCTTTGATGTACCTTGTGTTGAGCTAAACAAACGACGAAAAAGGTAGGCTTTTTCTATTTCACTAACATTTTAAAAAGAATTAGCATGGATCTTGGTAAACATTTGATTAAGAAAATAAACACAAGAATTGCTGGACGTTTCGATGACATCCTGTCATCATTTTCAACGACAATTTAATGACAAACCAAGCGTGAATTACTGTATGGCAAAGTATATATGTGTAAATATTCAAACAAAACGTTTTGCTTTCACTGAGTCTGATTGGACGTTCGGGGTTGGTTTTAATTCCCTGATGAACAGCATTTCATAAATCAAACAATCAAATTTA